TGAAGTCAACAGTCAGACACTTAACTGATTGAGCCACCCAGGTGCTCCTCTAAGCCTGCATTTTAATGTGATGTTAATATTTTAGTCCTTTTATAAATCTCAGTTTTATTCCTCTTTAAATTTCAGTTGCATCGGGGTGCCTGGGTGGCTCAGTCGTTCAGCGTCTGCCTTTGGCTCAGGTCATGGTCCCAGGGTCCTGGGATCGAGCCCCACGTCGGGCTCCCTGCTCAGCGGGAAGCCTGCTTCTCCCTCTCCCACTCCCCCTGCTTGTGCTCCCTCTGTCAAATAAATAAATAAAATCTTTTAAAAAATAAATAAATAAATAAATTTCAGTTACATCTTCATGGGCATTTAATAAAATAGAACATTATTAGATTAAGTGAATGTTTTGAGTTTTTCTTCTTTTCTAATTTAAACAGCTTTTCAATTCAGAACATAATATACTTGTGTACTTTTTATATTGTACATGCTTTATAGTTAATATGTTTTCTAATTTTTTGAAAGAAGCATTTTAATAAAAGATTCTAAACATGATAATTTACATTTCATCCAGTTATGTATAAAGGGCTTATAAATACTGTCAATTGTATGTATTTTACTGGGAAGTGGTTTAAATGGTTGTTGAAATGATAAGGGATTTTTATCATTTCATTCTTTTCCCACAGTGGAAAGGTTTTATTATTTCTAAGTGATTCATGACTTATCATTTGCCTATTTCATTCCAAATAGGCTTCCCAGCCAACACTGAAGCTGAGAGACACACTACATTTTATTCTTTGCCATCTTCATTGGAACGAACACCCACCAAAATGACAACATCCCAGAAAGTTACCTTTTGTTCTCATGGCAATTCAGCTTTTCAGCCAATAGCATCAAGCTGCAAAATCGTGCCACAAAGTCAGGTTCCTAATCCTGAGTCACCCGGAAAATCCTTCCAACCCATCACCATGAGCTGCAAGATTGTTTCAGGTATACAGATGATGTGTGTCAAGTTGATGTGTATAAAAATTGTTGTAATGGCAAAAGAAAGTATTATGGCTTTTCTTAAGTTCTTTTTTTTTTTTTTTTTAAGATTTTATTTATTTATTTGACAGATTGATAGCGAGAGCAGGAACACAAGCAGGGGGAGTGGGAGAGGGAGAAGCGGGCTTCCTGCCGAGCAGGGAGCCCTATGTGGGACTCGATCCCAGGACTCTGGGATCATGACCTGAGCCGAAGGCAGACGCTTAACGACTGAACCACCCAGGCGCCCAAGTTCTTTTAAGTAGGATTTTTGTTTATTTAACAAGTAATCACTATTGATGAGCAAAGCTGTCAACAAAAGTCATTCCATATGCAAATAGTTTTTGAATAGGGAAAGAAATGAAATTCAAAGCAGTCAGGTTTTTATCTCCAAGAAGTGGTGCAGGTAAAATGTTTACTAGGATGTATGGTTGAAACTAAGATAGGAATTAAGTTTTTGAATTATATATGGAAACCAGAGTGGCTAGTAATAAAAAAAACTTAGAGGCAGGCCTTTTGGTGTGGAGTTAAAGCTTGAAAGGTAGGAATTGGTTTGGGGTTGAAATGTCTTTTATACTAACCACACTGAAATTTAGTCATTCCTGTTACCGGTAGGTAGTTTTGAGCCTTCATTTTCACTGAGATTGAATTGTCTACTGTCTCATGACAGTTCCACATTTATGTTAGGTAGACCTCTGGTAGGAATATACTTTATGGTGTAGGTTGCATCACTTCAGAAAAGGCTTGAAAGAGAGTCAGTAGAAATATCTAGGCAGTGGGAAGCCTCTATATATGAAGTTGGAGAAAAGGAGTCTTCAGTGCTAAAAATAGACAACTAAGGAGAAATATGATCCAAGTCTTTGAAATTGATGAAAGGTGAGGAATGTGTAATTTTACCTCCCAGTTAGAAGCATTTTGGAACTTGCTGTTCCAGAGGCGGAATAGGCTGAACATACAAATTGGTTAGAAGTTAAGAGAAATTCATGGATGACAAATTTGATCCATAAAAAAACCATTGAGCATGTTGGATGATACATGGGTAATCTTTGAGAGTGTTCTGTGGGAACAGGAATCTCTGGATTGTAGCTGTGACTTAGTATTGACAGACTTTTGTTTTGGGTGGGTGAATTTCATGTTTTCCTATAGGAAATTAATTGTAAATCAAGACTCCTGGTTTGTAAGTCTAGCTGTTCACTTACTAATTCCCTGTAATTTTAGTGTCTTTGAGTATAAACATTATTATAACAATTTGCCCAAGTTGTGAAGAGTTTGATTATCTAGGGATTTAGGAGTTCTATGCTGTTATGTAAAGCTCTGCTTTTTTATTTTATTTTTTTAAGATTTTATTTATTTATTTAATTGACAGAGACAGCAAGAGAGGGAACACAAGCAGGGGGAGTGGGAAAGGGAGGAGCAGGCTTCCCGCTGAGCAGGGAGCCCGATGCGGGACTCGATCCCAGGACCCTGGGATCACGACCTGAGCCAGAGGCAGTCACCCAACCAACTGAGCCACCCAGGTGCCCAAAGCTCAGCTTTTTGAACTTTAATGTACCCATGGGATGGGTGTGTGTAGGGGGAATCTTGTTAAAGTACAGATTTATATTTAGCAGGTCTGGGGTAGCACCTCAGAATCTGTTTCTCAAAAGCTCCCTGCTGATGCTGATGCAAGGATGAGTCCCTTCTCAGCTACACCACTGCTGTTGCTTAGTACCTGAAACAGAGTCCCATTCTCTTTTCCCCATTTGTCACCTTTGTCCTCCATTATCGTTAGCATTTTCTTAGATGGGTTGAGTAGATGTCTTTTGTTTAGTTTGTTCCTCTTTTTTATTAATAAAGGTTCCCCCATATCAACTCCAAGTCCATCACCCCTGCCTCGAACCCCAACTTCCACTCCAGTCCATGTGAAGCAAGGCACTGCCAGCTCTGTCATTAATAACCCTTATGTTATCCTGGATAAGCCAGGGCAGGTTATTGGAGCCCCCACTCCCACTACAGGTATGTTTGTGATCAATATTTGTGTGATCCGAAAGGCTTGATCTTTTGTAAAGGCGACATCCTAGGGTGACTGAGTAGCCATATAATGGGAGGATGAAATCTTTATCTGTAAACAAGAGGAGGAGCTCTAGAACAGTAAATCCAGTGCTGTTTCTCAGAGAGAATAAAAGTCCTGTTTTTTAGGAATTTACTTAAATTTTCTTTTTAATTTCTAAAGATTAAAAGTGAGCCATAATTAATTTAAAAAAAAAAAAAAAGCTGATTTTGTATTCATTTGGAAGACATTCTTTTTGGGCCTGCAAGCAATGTGGTTATTTTCCAAATTAAGCTTCAGAACAAGAATACCTCTGTGGCCCACATATGTTTCTCACCAAATAAAAAAGTGATCTTTACTTTTCTGTGAATAAGGTAAATTTTGTGTGTGGGAGAGAAATTGAACTCTGCAGTTAAAAAAAGGGACCTCTGATAGGAAGAATAAGAACTGGGTTTATTGTGTTTGTCATCATAATTTCCTATAACTACAGAGTGCTTTTCAGGTTTTTTCCAAGTATTTTCACAAACATTATTTTATGTATTTGTTTCATTTAAACTATGTGAACACATGCTTCTAAGTGTAAACTTTTCTGTAGCTCTCACTTCTAATTAAGAGAAATAGTGAAAAGAGAAGTGACTATAAGGTAGTAAGACTGATTTTTTTTTTTTTTAACATAATTGATTTTAACACATGAATGTATGCTGGATCTTTCCAAGTAGCTTTTTGGAAAAGTTAGGTCCTTTAACAGTGATTATAATTGTGGAACTCCTTTAAAAAATGCTGCTTTCAGAAATTACTTAATAGCCTTTTGAATATATTTAGGGATGTCAAATAGGTTTCCTTTGAGGATGGTTAGTTTTAGGAATTAGCCAGTCTTTGCAGGCAAGTTTGATAAATGGAGCAGGTGATCAAATACCATTTTTGGTCTTGACTTACTTTTGACTATAGGTAGTGGGACTTGTTTTTATCAGACCCTAAAGGCAGTTATACACATGGAGTATAAATTGCTTAATGTCAGCATCACTTTGGAACAGGTACGACCTCCTGGTGAAACTATTTTGAAGGAGCTAGAATTCACTTAGATTCATACATGTGGTCCATCATTATGTAACCAATACCCTTATGTTCTGGTATCTGTCTCTGTATACAGGTAACAGAGTGTGTAATATCTACGTACTTCTACATGTCCTTACTAGCTTCTTGTCTATTTTTAGGTTAGTGAGGTGGTCAGCTTCATAGGAGGAATCTTTAAGTATTTTTTCTATAGTAATTTCATGGTTGTGAGTTTTCAACACTTTAAAAATGAAAAATGGTGGAGGAAAAGGGGAGGGGATGGTGGAAAATGCTTTAAAGTTCCATTTTGTAAATTTTACTTTGTACTTTATTTTAAAATCTGCCTTGCTTATCAGGAAGTCCTACAAACAAGCTCTCTACTGCCTCCCAGGCCTCCCAAGGAACAGGTTCCCCTATTCCTAAAATTCATGGAAGTAGTTTTGTAACATCTGCTGTCAAGGTAACACTCTTATTGCATTATTGCACTTTTCTAGTTTGTAAAGACAGTAAGTTCAAGCCCAGCAAGAATTTGTCAGTTGATGATGCAAATTTCATTAAGTAGAATCCTCAAGCTACTAAGCATCTTGAAGATCATCTACTCCAGGCCCACCTGTCTTACTCTTGATCTTTTCCTAGTGTGGAAAATGTTTCTCAGCACTTCCATCAGTTGGACAGTCAGTATCTATTTGAAAATTTACTATGATGAGGAGGCAGCTATTTTTAGGAGTGGGGGGTGCTCAGCTTTGTTACAGATTTTTCCTTATAAAAATATTCATCTGGCAGCATACTTCTTTTCTTCTTATATTTGTACCAATAAGGAGTAAATATATATTTTTTCTCTTTGTCAGCCATGTAGTTACTTGAAAATAATTCTTTCCACAATTTTTCTTTTTCTTTTTTTCCTTCAGGGTAAGAAAACCTTTAAAATTAGAACTTCAAATATGATCTGACTTGTTCAGCTAAGAGTGCTAGGTATCTGCTCACTGTTTGGCAAAGACAGCCCCTGCTGTTTTGGTTGGTTACTTGTCATTGTCATGACTGCCTAGAGCCTTTGAGGTATAAACTCGTGTGTGAGAACTGAGAATTCAGAGATCCTCTACTACATGACGAGTGCTAACACATTTCTTACATATAGGTACTTAACGGTGATGATGTTGAATAGCTTTCTGGTCCAAGACAAGGTTTTTCACTGAGTTCAGTGCTTCCTGTGTTACATGAATGCCTAAATTGTAATAATTGCCTTGAAGGTCTTAATTCTCTGCCAGTCTGTTTTTAATGTTTGTTGATCTTTTCGTTACATGGTTAAGCAGTATTAACTTTGTTACTTGTCCCTAATTTGTGGCATATTGCCTCTGAGAGTTACATTTTATATTTGAGAGAGACAAATGCCAGTAATTTTGAATGTTGACCTTTGTTGGTTTTGGATTTATTAAGTTCTTTTTATTGTTTTGTTTTTTAAATCCTTATTGAAATTATTTCCCTGTGTATTGGGTATTTATTTGGAGTAAAGATAACAAATCAGGTTGTGTGAATACTATTGAAAGGATGTATATACTGAAACACTCTGTTTCATTTATTTATTTAGTGCCTAGGCTCTAGGGATAGAGAAGAAATAAAATACAGTGCCAGGCCTTTAGTGGCTTACCATTAGGCAGGGGACTAGACATGCAAACCTGTGAGCCAACCAAATGTTAGAGGTGTATAATAGCCTTCACAGCATATACCGGGGCACAGATGACTAGGTTCTTGCCAGGTCATGGCCTTTCCTTGCATTTGGTTTCTAAAACAATAATTAAAATGTGAGTGTGGGGGCTTGGAAGACCCTAAAGAGTTTTGAGCTTTTGGGTCTTTTTGTTTTTTGATTATGTTGGTAGAGAATGTCACAGGTTTATATTAAATATAAGGACAGTTATATTATATTTTATATATATATTATATTGTAAATATAAGGACTATCTGAAGTCAGTTATTTTATCCTAATTGTACAATGTGTATTTTTACATATGCAGCAAGAGGATTCTTTGTTTGCATCTATGCCACCTCTTTGTCCTATTGGGAGTCACCCTAAGGTTCAAAGTCCCAAACCTATAACTGGAGGACTTGGAGCTTTCACAAAAGTGAGTATTTATTAGGGCATTATCCCACAAGGCAAAATGGTTTTGTTACATAATTGTTTCTGTGGCATGTTGGAGTTGATTGACACTACCCCACAACATGTAACTTTTTAGTATGTCATAATTCTAAGACCAGATCCTACTTCTGCGACAGGGCAGCTCTTGGTATCGAGCAAGATGGTAACTCCTGAGAGCACAAACTGTGTGTGTGTTTCTTTCTGCTGCCATTTGCCACCAAAATCTAGAACAAATGGACTAGGTCGAGTTTGCAGAAACACAGGATCAAATCCAGATCCCACTTTTGGTCCCTTTGATAGCTGTTATGGGCTGTATTTAAGCAATATTTCTACCCTTCTGGTGGAGTCATTTTTTTATAGACCAGGCTTCGTCAATTCATTAATTCCTGAAAGCAGAATAGATTCAGATATTAGTGGCTTTTTTTTTTTTTAAGATTTATTTATTTATTTATTTATTTGACAGAGAGAGA